ACAGCTTATTTCACAAGTTTTTTTTTTTAATAAATTGCACTAAGCTTAAGGTATGCCTTTTATTCCGACGATAATGACATAATTACTTTGTATGTGAAATGAGCTGTCGTAAAAATATACTGTCCATGAAATAAACTTGTCTTTGAATTAGTAATCGGTTAAATAATTTTGTCTGTAAATTAATTGTCATGAACTAAGTTGTCCATGAAGCGATTATCGATAAAATAACACATACCCATAACGAATTATGAACGATAATATCAGTGTATAAATCAAATATCTATAGGATTTTTAGCCGCAGAAGCGGCCAAAACATCTTACAGATACTTGATTTATCCATTGATTTATATTACCTATTGTAATATAATTTGTATCAACCATTTTAGTCTGTTATCAATTAAAACTTCAAATGACGAAATGATAAAACTGATGAAAGGTGATGAAACTAATGAAAAGTAATGAAACTGATCATATCCGCCAAAATGTTTATTTGGGCCTAAAATTTACACCCCAAATCTGATCAACTTTACATATTAGCACCCTAAATTTATAATTGATACTGATCGACATTACATATTAGCACCTCAAAAATTTTTATTTTTGTTACTAAAAATTAAAATTTTATAATAAACTCTGGCGTCAAACCAATGAACCTACCTAGGTAACCAATGAACGAAATTGCGCACAAATAGGTAAAGACAATGAAGATTATAGTAAGAATTTACTACTTGCAATATATAATATGTTAATAATATTTATTTCTGTATTTGTAAATAACAAGCTTTTTTTAATGCCACGATCAAAGAAACCTTTTGAATGTACTATTTGTAAAAAAAAATGATACAAATCTGCAGCAGGGCTTTTACGACATGAAAATGCCAAGCATAGTAATTACAATATACCTCCTATTCAACATTATGTTTTGTCAGAAAATGCTATTAATGAATGGAAAGAAATGTTAGTACATGCTATTCACAAACGACTTCCTCTTGCTTTTCGAAAAACTGGCAAACAAGTAATCAAATTTCCTTGTATGGAGGGTCAATACTTAGTACTTTTCAGACAATATTTAATGTGTGTATTTGTTTATAAAAAAGCTTATAAATGTGTTTTTTCAGGATCTAATGCATATCAAACTATTAGTTTGCTATTAGGTGATCATTGTTGGGGTGTATGACATTATGAGTGCAATTAGGTTTCTTACGTTGTATTGTTTATTCAAACAAATAATGAAAACTCAATTCTGGTTTTAGATGCTCTAATTGCAAAAAAAGCAGCAAAAAAAAAAAAAAGACAAGATAATATAGGTAAAGAAAGCTCTTCTTCGACTATAACTTTAGAAAAAAATATAATTGTACAATCAGAATTTATAGTAGGTTGGGCCCAAGAAACAATTAAAGATTTTAGTGGGCATCAAGTTTCTTCAGGCTATATTAAAATACAATTTAATATAGAAAAAAGCTTTTTTACTGACTCTAATACAAATACATATAATAAATAAAAGTAAAAAGGATATAATAGGTTGATTTTAAATCATAAAGTTTAATATTTTTTTTTTTGTTTTTTGTTTTTAAGACTGTAATTGTTGAGAATTATCATTAATACATATAATCCATAACCTAACCAATGTAGTCCTATGCTGGCTAATAGCTAATCACTAATTATAACTGTATCAACCATTACCACAGAGATAGAAAAAGGAATTTCCAAGATGAACCTCATATACTTCAAGCACTACCAGTTCATCCTGCACCTACTTTATCAATATACTATTAGGACTCATAACATGGCTCCAAAACTCTTTGAGTATATACAGTAAACTTAGTAGATAAATTAATGCACATGTTTGGTGAATGTGATTCCTGAACATGGTTTAATTTTATATATATTTGATGCTGGTATACATCTTATATTGTTTTTAGCATCACTAGTTAAAATTAAAAACTTCAACATGTCGAATAGCACAATTTGAATGCTATTCAACATGCCTTTCAACTTCGCAGACATGCATATCCATGAAATTATGTAATAATATTGAATGACAAGTCAAAAAGCATGTTAAATGGCATTCAAATTGTGTCATTCGACATGTTGAATTTTTTAATTTCGACTAGTGCATTATGATTAAGTTAATTAGTCATAAATTGTATGATATATATATATATATTGTACATATATTTTTTAGATACGATATATTGGAGAAAGTCAAGAACCATCAGTGATCCTTCACCATTTCATGCTCACTTTTCTACCCTTGTAGATAAGAGATTGTTTATACTTGAAGAAGACGGACCTGAATATTTCAATGATCTATATATATGTTTTTGATATTAGAACAAATAATTAGAGGGTTATTTTTATAACTTACAATTTTTTAAGCGCAATAATGTTGATGTTAATCATGATTATGGATTTAATCTTGTTTTGTTATTTTTAGATATGCTCACTTGAAGAAACAGGTAATATTCCATCAAGACACTGAATACATACTACTGCCTACTATAATAATTGTGGTGAATTAAAGTGAAATACGATTAAAATGAAATATTTACAATATAAAAAATAGACAAACTACCAAAAAATAAAAATTTTTGGTGTGCATTTTTTAGAGTTAGGGGTTAGGGTTAGAGGTTAATTTTAGGTTAGAATTTATAATAAACAAGTATAAGTAGATTTTAGATGGTTAAATAGAAATGCTTATTTTATTTTAATTATGATCTGTAACAATAATTGTATATTTTTTGTAGTAGACCACCAATTTCTAGAGGTTATTACACTAGTAACCTGGTAGAAAATAAGCTTGTAGTTTATAGTGGTAGTGATGGTCATGAATATTTCAATGATGTTTTTTTGCTGGATTTAGGCAAGTAGAAAATTTATTAAAGATCAAATTTTAACCTAGAAATAAAATAGTTCATATATTATTCAATATTTTGTTAATAATGTATATATTTTTTAAACTTTTAGAAAGAAACAATTGGATTAAAATCAATATTGCAAATTCTCGCCAATGGCTTTCATATACTGCGACACAAGTAAGATCATATTTGTTTATTGTTTGTAGACATGATAGTATATGGCATATCTAAGAAGTTCTTTTATTAAACTTGGGTATGTAGTAAATTATCTTTTTATTGCTTTAAATTATCATTCATAATTTTTATTTATTTTTCTAAATCAAAATTCTAATTAGATCATCATGTCAAATTAGAACAATAGTGCATTATTAGTTATGAAAAATTACTAAAGAAATTTAGAATAATTTAAAAGAAGAAAATGCTCAAATGATAGCTTCACAGTTAGTTTATAGGATAGATATATTAATAGTTTAAATTTCTGGGTTTTACAACTCTGAAATATAGAAAAACTGTATCTAAAAATTAATATTAGATTGGGATTATGCTTATTTTGTATAGTGAAATATAAATATTTAGTAAAAAAGGTTTTAAAAGCTAACTATTGTATTTATCTGAATGTTTTATTTACTATAACATTTAGTTTTTATACATATCCAAGACTACAATTTCTCAATCATCAGTACTAGCATTACAAGCATTTCAGCTTATTTCTTTAACCTTTTCTTGTTCTTTTAATAATTCTCGCTTAATCACACCAAGACTATTTTCCTTTATAGATATTACAATATTATGAAAATTGTAGTCTATGATAATATTATTTAATTCCTTAATTTTCAATTTCGTTAGAATTAATGATGTTAATTTTCTTATACTTCAGTAATGTTAATGTTTTATCAAATTGCCAAAAATATAGTGCTCTATTTTCTATTTCCAAAATTTTTAATATAGCAGATTTTTGCAAATGCCCACCATCTTTTAGGGTTTTTGAAAAAAAAGTTGATACATGTTAATGATTTTTTTTTTCAACTGGTTAACAGGAAAATATGCCAAGTCCCCATTGTAAATGGATATCTAAAAATTCTAGAACATGATTGATTAGAACATGTATATAAGAAGTTATGTCGCTTGGTATGTATAATCCTTTATTTATAGTATTAGTACTGGGAATAATTTGTGAAGGTGTTAAAACATGTTTAACTATTCACGAGCTTTATTATGGAAGAGATCTCCTATTAATTTATTTTGACCTAATATTCTGTAAAGTTCACAAAAACCTGTTCAAAGTTTCTGAACTTTTGTAGTATGTAGTGGTGGTAACATTATATTTAGATTAAAATTTGCCATTACTTTTAACTTGTCCAGACCCATTAAAGAGATAAATTTCTAAGATTATGTTTCCTGATCTTTTCAAAAACTAAATTTTACTCCAATAGTCTTCATCTCTTCGCATATTAACTCTCATTTTGTCTACAAAGTGACTATTAGTTTTGCATTCATTTAAAGCTAACTCCCACAAGCAGTCAGTTATACGTAATATTAGGTGGAGTTGATCTACTACATAATGAGTTATTGGAATCATATTTAATATAGGTGAGTGAATTTGACCAGGGAAGCTCGAATAATTTTTTTTAATTTGATCAATTTTCTTTGTTATTGCCCAATTTTTATTTAAATTACTTATCAAATCTTTCATACAAAGACACCATGGGCAGAAATTAAATGCATTAGCTGTATTAAATCCCAAAATTATTGCCAAAAATTTCCAATCAGATAAAAAAAATACTTCAATATCCCATCGTTGATTATGATTATCAATAAACCTATTTTTATACAATTCTTGCAATTCATAGTAAATGGGTCCCAAAGCGATCTTAAGAGAAGTATAATTTTCTTTTCTAGAGAATAAAGAAATTGTATAGTGCTTTTCTGGTTTCATAATATTTTTTTGATCATTAAGGATTGCTAGTATTACCATAACGTGTTTTATTTTTTTCTAACATTTTTTCTGTCACCTAAGATTCGCAAATATATTGTAGGGGTTTTACGACTAAGAACTTGATCTGTGACAAGCTTTGGTATAATGAATTGTAGAATTGTAGATATATTGCAATAACTACCTTTTTCTAATATAATTGCAATTTTTTAACTATCTAAGTCACTATCTTCACTATCTGAGTTATTATCCTCACTATTTGAGTCACTATTTTCATTATTCGGGTCACTATTTGATGTTTGCAGCTTCATATCAAATACTAATAATGGAATGTGCTTTTGCATTATTTTGTCAACATTATACTTTTATTTGCTAACTAGCCATTCTTTTGGCAAATCTTGTGAAGTAGTCGTTAAAGCTCTATATCCTCTTCGTGAAATGTTAGAATGATTTATTGCTTGAACAACTTTTTGAGCCTTTTTTTTTTCTAATTGCTGATCTTCTTCAAACTTTACTAACCATGGTTGTTCACCTGCCTCTAATACTATTTCTTTAAGCTTAGGATTATTTAAAGAATGCCAAATTTTATTTTTTTCTGTTTCAAAATCATTGAATAAATTTTCAGTAGCTATTTTAATTTTTTTTCTATATAAAGAATTACTAATATCACTAAGGGGCTTAATATATCGTGATTGATTTGTTTTTGGTACAGTTTTAGTTAATTCTTCATATAATTGCAAGTATTCTAGAAAATGCTATTTTTCTTTCTGGATATCGTATTTTTTAAAAAAAAATAAAAATTAAATTAAATTGTTAAATTAATATCGATAATAATTATAATAATACTTACATTACAATATTTATTGGATGCATTCGATGTTGAAATTTGTGAAACTACTTCATATTCTCGCATATCATGTATCCATTCAATTTTAAAATGTGGTATTCTTTCAATATAATTAATCGATACTTGAACATGATTTTTTTCACTACACCCCCAAAAGACCTCTATTTGATAATCATCAGGAATAGGATATAATCCTGGTCTTTGCGTATATTTAAGATTTGGTTGCGAGGGAAGTGCACCCAAATTTATAATTGTATAATTGTAATTTCTAATTTTACTTTTCCAATAAACTACATTATCATGTGGATAATTATGGTTTATTGTTCCTTCAAGTTTTTTTCTTGTGTTATTTGACATTCTAATTAAAAACTTGTACAAAACTTGCATATACCTGATATCGGTATATATAATAAGAATTTTATGTTTGTTACACATTTTTTGTACTATAATAAATTATTTATAAAATCGTAGTGGTAATGGCAGTTAATTTTTTTAAAAAAAAAAAGAAAAAAAAATTTTTTGCCTTGAACTTTAATATAGCGATAATAAGGTCATACAAAATTAATAATTTTAATTGCATTGACTTATTTAGGTCTGGAACCCAGCAGCCTAAATTTTTTCTTTTTTTTAAAAATTATAGAAATCTTTTTTTACTTTTGTAAAAAAGAAAAATAAAACATCCAGTTATTATAGCGAATATTAAAGATTTAAAAAAAAAATTGACTCTGCTATATATATGCATCAAATAAACTCGCATAGCACTTGTTGCATTATAATCACGTAATTGAATTATATATATATATATTATATATATATAGAAAATCAATCAACTCAAAAATTATCAAATGTTGGTACAGTACATTTTTAATTTGATTGAACAATTTTAATTTAAAGCTAATTATTAATTTGTAAAAGTCCTAAAAGCTAACTCATATTATATACAATGTCAAAACTAGGATTGTAAATATCGTTCTTTGTCATGCATTGTTCAGTCCATTTTTTTATTTTTC